ATATGCATGTGAAAGCTGGACAATGAATAAGGAAGACCAAAGGAGAGTTGATGCTTCTGAGTTGTGGTGTTGGAAAAGAACACTAAGAGTACCAGGGTCTGCTAAAAGGACTAACAAATCTGTCCTGGAAGTGCAGCCAGAATGCCCCTTGGAAGTGAAAATGGCCAGACTTTGTCTCACCTACTTTGGTCATGTTGCCAGAAGGGACCAGTCCCTAGAGAAGGGTATCATGCTTGGTGAAGTGGAGGGTCAGTGAAAAATGGGAAGGCCCTCAATGAGATAGACTGATAGTGGCTGCAATGATGGGCTCAGGTATAGCAAGACTGTGAGGCTGGCACAGGACTGGGCAGTGTTCATTCTGTTGTACAAAGGGTTGCTATGAGTTGGCGCCAACTCAACAACACCTAACAACAACAGAATAATAAAATACACTTCCTCTCTTCTTTATGCCTTTTATTTCTTTTTATTAGCATACTTCACTGGCTAAACCCTCCAGTAAATTGTTGAATAGATGTGGTAAAAAGCAGACGTCATTTCCTTATTCCCAGTTTGAAAAAAAAAAAACTTGCAACATCTCATCATTAAGTATGATATTTGCTGTAACTACCCAATACCAGATTAAGTTCCCTTCTATTCCTGGTTTGCTAAGAGTTTTCATCATAAATGGCTGTTTAATTTTATTACCCAGTATGTCTGCAGTTTTTGAGATGATTGTATAATTTTTCTCCTTTATTCAGTTAATGTACTGAATTATACAGATTTTTAAATCAACCTTATATCACTAAAATAAACCTAACTTAGTCATCTTAGATGAACCTTTTCATATATTGCTGGATTTGGTATGTTATGCTTCATTTTTACATCTGTATTCATGACTGAAACTAGTATGTAATATTCCTTTTCCGCAAATGCCCTTGTCGGGTTGACATCAGGGTTACACTAGCTTCATACAACAAACTGAGAAGCATTCTTTTTCCTCTTTCTAGTAGAGTTTCTGTAAGATCAGTTTTATTTCTTCAGATATTGGGCAGAATGGAAGCTATCTTGGAGTTTCCTTTGTTTCTTTGAAGATTTTTCATTACAAAATTACAGATGAAATTTTAGTTATTTCAAATTTTCTATTCCTTCTTGTGTCTGCTTTGATAAACTATTTATTCACTTCGTCTAAATTTACTGGGCATGTAGGCATGAATAATATCTTCTTAAAATCTGTGATCACATCCTTCTAAGATATTGGTTCTATTGCCTTCTCTATTTTTCAGTCTTGCCAAGAGTTACCAATTTCATCACCTTTTTCAAACAAACCAGGTTTTGGCTTTATTGATTCTTCTATTTTATGTTTGCTTTTTATTATGTCTTTCTTGCTCCTTTCACTGTGTTTAATACGCTGCTCTGTTTTCCAACTTCCTGAGCTGGATGCTTGACTATTGATTTTCAACCTTTATTCTTCTCCAGTATATACATTTAAGGCTATAAACCTCACTCAAAGCAAAACTAGCTGCATCGGAGAAGTGATTTCATTATTAAATTATTAACTTAAAAATTTTCATTATTAAATAGATAAATAGCTGCCATTGAAGCCACTGTGACTCATGGTAGCCTTACGTACGACAGAATGAAACATTACTCAGTCCTGCATCATCCTCCCAATCACCTGCATGTTTGAGTCCACTGCTGCAGCTACTGTGCCAGTCCATCTCACCAATGGTCTCCCTCACCCTTAGTGGCCCTTTACTTCACCAAACATCACGTCCTCCTCTAGCGATCCCTCCTGATGACATGTCCAAAGCAAACAAGTTGAACAATGTTCCACTGTGACCCATAAGCTTTTCACTGGCTAATTTTCAGAAGTATGTCACTAGATCTTTCTTCCCAGTCTGCTTTAGTCTGGAAGATCCACTGAAATCTGTCCACCATGGGTGACCCTGCCAGTATTTAAATACTGGTAGCATAGATTCCAGCATCACAGTAACATGCAAGCCATTACAGTATGACAAACTGAGGGTGGTGGTTTTCATTATTAGCCATTTCAAAATATTTCCTCATTCTTGCTGTGGTAGTTAAGGTTGTGTGTCAACCTGGCTGGGCCTGGTTGAGTGGCTGGGCAGCTGGATATAGTTACTCCCCATGATGAGACTGGCAATCAATTCCATGGTGGAATCTGCTAGAAAACCTGAGTAGCTGCTTTAGGGATGTGGGCTGCTTCCAGTATATAAGCAGCAGCTTTGAGGAAGGTCTGTAATTTTTGGCATGATTGGACCCTGCATGTAGCCAAGTCATGGCTCAGTACCCTGCAGATCTTGTGACTTTTTCTGGACTTGAATTAGTGGCCTGCCATGTTGTTTGGTAACTTTAGGACTATACCTTTTTCCCTGTTGACCTTGGGTTTGTCAGCCTCAGCAGCCAGCAGCTGCCTGAGTGAAGAAAAGCCTCCAGCTTCATTGGGCCAGAAGCAGGAGGCAGAGCTGAAGCCCAAGGTTGAGGGGCTCTCACTCAGCCTCTGGAGCCTGGCACTTTGAACTTGGACTTCTAGACTCAAAAAACTGTAAGAATGAACTCCTGTTTGTTCAAGCCAACCCATGTGTGGTATATATTCCTGTCAGAGTGGCACTAGGTAATCAAAACACCACTGTAGATTTCTTCCAATTAGTATCTTCAGTATTAAATTTCTTTCATCCCTCCAGATGATGCAAATTATGATCAAGGTTAGTAAATGTCATCCTATATTTTAAATTAACCTGAAATAAAGTGACCACTTATAATTACATCTGAGGTATGTTTCAGATAAAATCATGACAACCACCTACCTAAATGCCCTGCCACACATCCCATAGTTCCCAGCCCCATATGATCCCCCAATGATGACAGTTATCTTGGGCACGTTGGCACAGGATACAGCAGTCACCATCTTGGCACCATCTTTGGCAATTCCTTCAGCTTCATAATCTTTGCCAACCATAAATCCTAAGAGGAAGAACAGAAACAGCTCCTATGAGTGATGAGATTAATGTCTAGTCCCTCAAGATACTGCAAGTATATCTTGCCTTAAACTAATTTTACTATAGCCCTCTCACTCTAGTATTTACATATGAAATACATCAAAAAAAAAAAAAAGATTTACAAAGTAAAATAAAATTTTCTCTAGACATTTTTTAAACTTTCTTAAGACAGTTCATCAGATGCACACAAGATCTTCTATAACGATGCATGTTTTCTTCAAGAAATTATTTTAGTGCACCAACAGCAGAAGAGAAGCCAGATGATTGGGACCTTCTAAAAATTAAATTTTTATGTGCTTCCAAAGACTTCTCCAAAAGAGTCAAAA